CGGAGCCGGGAGGCTGTGGCTGGCAGGGCCAGCAGAGCAAAGGAAGAGGGTGGCTGGGGTCTCTTCTGTTACAAAGCCCCCAGGGAGGGGCTCTGCCACACTGTGGTCGCCCCGGGGACTTCTGGAGGCGTCACCTCCTGTGGTCCTGGAAGCTCTCGGGGCCCAGGGGGACCTGCCTGGCCCAGCCGGGTAGGTGCTGACGACAGCTTGAGGCCCAGCATGGTTGAACCTCCGGCCTGCACAGCAGAGGAGCTGGGGGCAGTGAGAGAGGAAGCCACCCTGTGCTGCCCTGACCGCAGAGCTGAAGCTGAAAAGATGTGAGAAAACAGGTGGCCAAATGGGGGTGTGATGCTCACGCCCGCACCACAAATGGGGGAACTGAGGCTCGGGAAGAGCGCCCGGGCGATGCACTCCCTTCTCAGACACTTTCCATGGGGCCCTAGGCGGCGAGGCAGGGACGATCCCTCTGACTCCTCTCAAACCAGGCGCTGGGGTGACAGCGCTGGCACCCAACATGAAGAAGTGCAGAGATGGAGGGGGCTCCAAGTCCCCGACAGAGGCTGGCCCCCGTCTGAGGACCTTCAGGGAGCAGTGACTGGTGAGAGCCATCCCTGCGCATCCCTGCGTGTCCAAGCACAGCACCCGCCTTACTGGTCTGCACTGGGCTGGGTGGTCCCTGAGGCCCAGAGGGGATGGGACCTCCCGACAGTGGCTGGGCTGCGGCTGCACTTCTGGGGAGACTGAAAATTGTAGATTCCCAGGCTCCACCCCGGACCCTCGGAACCAGAATTTCCAGGGGATAGAGCCAAGTCTACAATTCCAGGCTCTGTCTCAAAGAGGCCGGAACTCCGCGACTCAGAGAATCCATTACCCGGGAATTGAGTGGCTTAGTGAGTTCACAGACTCCACGGCTAAGATTCATGGTCTGGAGACTCTGTGACTCAGCCCTCAACCCAACGGCCATCGAAGGAGAGTATGACGCCCCCAGATTCAGGGCACTGGGGCCCCAGTGGAGACAGAGGGATAGAGTGACGAGAGAAAGCCAAAAGGGAAACAGGGGGGAGCTCAGATGCTGGCACGTTTACATAGCTGCCTTCACACGTTTGTTAAACACTCAGACAGTCTGGAAGGTCCTCTAATGATGGTGATCTCAGGAGCATAAAGCTTTGGGATGCCGAGAGGCGGAAACAGGGCTTGAGAGAAGAAATTCACTTTATATACTTACAACTGTTCAATACTTGACCATGAGCGTGTAACACTCTTGTATTAAAAACTGGAATAATTAACTGGAGAACACGACAAACTCTGTGTTCACTGTTCCTTTATCCTCCCCTACCAGCCAGACCAGCTCTCAGCCCCCAGCTCCAGCACAGGCCAAAGCACAGGGGACATGGAATAACACTACAAGTCTGACATCCTCAGAGCCTGTGTCACGAATACGCAACAGGCCAAGACCTCCAGGGCTCTCTGAGAAGGGAAGGGAGAGGCCAGCAAGAAAAGAGACGTCCAGGGGCTGGTCCTGAATGCGTCGTGTAAAGGGGCTCCCAGGGCCCTGTCCAGCCCAGCTTCCACAAGGCTGCGGCCCAGAACACCAGCTCCCTCGGGGGCCCAGGCGTCCATCCAGCCAGGCCCCGTGTCCTCTGGGCCTTGCCAACCTCTAGTGCTGTGAAGAGCCAGGTCCCCTCAGCCCTCCAGTCCTCCTCAGGCCCCAACAGGCCTGAGTGGAAGCCTGGCCCGGCTTGGCCTGGAACCAAGAGCCCTGAGGCACAGGGTCAGGGCCGGGGGGTGGCGGGCTCTACCACCCAGAACGCCAGCTGCTGGCAGTGATTTATTTTTGCTTTAAGTGCCAGAGAATTGCAGGGCTGGAGCCGCCAACTCAAGGGGCTTGGGCTGCAGCTGGAAGGAGGAGGAGGTGGGCAGGAGTCGGGGGCACACAGCCTATGACACACACACACACACACGCACAGAGCTGGGCACCCCCATCCCCACAGGCTCCCTCCTCCCAGCCCCAGCCTCCTGGGTAAACCTGCAAACAGCTGTGGGGAGGCTTCTGGGGGCAGAGGGTCTCACTGCTGCTCCCACCTTGCTTCTAGAGAGCTGTGCCACCTCGGTCTGGGGCATCCCTCTCGGGCCAAGGGCTGCCACCCCACAGCGGGGATGGTGTACTGTCCTCTCTCTCAGGACACCCCTCCAGGCGGGGGCGTCAGCCACGGACGAGCTCTGGTTCTCCTCGGAGGTGAGCTCAGGAGACAGAGCCTGCCCTAGGTGGCCTGGAAGGCGCCTGGTCAAGGCCCAGCCCTGGAATCACCTGCTCACCCCAGAGGGGGCGCGAGCCCGAAGTGTCAGAGGTGATGAGGAGCCCCCAAGAGAACAGAAGGGGCTATGCTTTGCCAACAA